TGCGATTATTAATAACCAAAATTGCGATTTTATTTTGAATTTATTTTGCACTAACCCAGAGCTTGTAGATGTTTCGGCTCAGGCTTTCAGTTTTTGAAAGCTTGGTTGCCAAGAGTTCATTGTTGCAGGACTGTACTGTAATGTTTGTGTGTAAAGGTGCATACTTCTACTATAATGCATGGATATGCATGCTAGCTGCAACTCTCTTTACCTTTCTGTGTGGTGACAAACCCACTACAAGTGTATTACGGCCACCTAAAGGGCTGGACAGAGAAATGTATCGTCTTAATCTTGTTAAATATAGTGTGATTAAAACTGAGTGCTGCTGTGATCTTAAAATTGCATTGTGTCAAATTGCAACTATATGGAAAAAGCAATCAATTACCCAGCCATACTATATAATGGGACTGACATCTCTCAAAAAAGGATTTAAAGCGTCATTTAAAAAAAAAATCACAGATTGTATTATTTCATCTTTAATATTTGATAATTTTATCATTTATTTATTTAACCTGTTAATTATTTTATTAACAGAAGCATGATTACAATTTATTAAACCTTTCTATAATTAACCGAGCCATTTTTTTTTTGTGTTTTATGTTTTGATGATTAATCTTTATTGCTGATTCATGTTTTACTGCAGATCTGACAATATGCAGTTCTTATATTTCATATTTCCTCTCCGGTTTAATTTTCAGTTTTTTTCCACTTAATATGAGACATATCATAATATATACTAATACAAAGCATTTAAATATAAAAAAAAAGTTAAAGAACAGATCAAAACCAAAAAGAGGGTATATATTTGTTTAGAGCCAGTCATGTTTAAGCAATCTCTTGGTTTGGGGTCTCCCATTGTTTACTCTATGTGGTAGTGTTTATGTTTGCAGGCACCATCATGGGTGTGGGACAATGTTTACTCTTCGGCCTTACAGTTGTAATCAGGAGAAAGTTCTCAGCCAGTCGCTTCTGGGACGACTGTGTCAAACACAACTGTACTGTGAGTGGATACTGCTGCTACGAGCTGGATGCCGGGTAATAGATTTTCTTCAGTAAACAAGTCTCCCAATGGGGCCTCTGTCTGTGAAACCCTTAGGTAATCCAGTACATCGGTGAAATCTGCCGCTACCTGTTGGCTCAACCCGTCCGCCAATCCGAGGCTCATCATCGGGTCAGAGTTGCCATTGGTAACGGGCTCCGTCCGTCCGTGTGGGAAGAGTTTGTCCGTAGGTTTAGGATCAAAAGAGTTGGCGAGTTTTACGGTGCAACTGAATGCAACTGCAGTCTGCTCAACATAGATGGCAAGGTGGGCTTTTATGCTGTGGAGAAAAATCTTGGTTATGCTCTAGGTCATTAAAATGTGTCCTATGTTGCCCATCCAGGTGGGAGCGTGCGGCTTCAGTAGCAGGATCCTACCTAACTTTTACCCCATTAGGCTGGTTAAGGTGAAAGAGGATGAGAAAGAGCTGCTCAGGGATTCAAAGGGACTCTGCATACCTTGTCTGCCTGGTAACAAATATAACACCCCACCCTCACAAACACAAACGCAGTTCCCAATGATTAAATTTGCCTCTACTTGTGCAGGGGAGCCGGGTATGTTAGTGGGCCGCATCAGCGACACGGATCCACTCAGGCGGTTTGATGGCTACGCTGATCAGGACGCAACCAATCAGAAAATAGCTCACAATGTGTTCCAGATGGGAGACTCCGCTTATGTCTCAGGCATGTTTTATTCTGTCTATTTGTCAGTCTCTGAATATTAATGATGTCATGTCTGGGATCTGAGTTCCAGCTTGGCTGTATTCAAACAAAGGCTCCCAGTGTGAGAAAGCTGGAGAACATGCTGCAGTAGCACGTATGGAGGTGTAAAGTCATTAATAGAAGAAAAAAGAATTTTTCATAAATTTCCAGTAGGCTACTGCTCCTTATGAGTGGCAACACCAATGCATGTTTCATTATAGATACTATAACAGTGGTTTGTTTTTAAGAGCAAAACAAAAACAAATCCTGAAATACAGGGTTTCAATTCAGGAGAAAGAAAACATAAACAAGGCCACCTAGACACTAAGAAAGATTGTTTCAAATAATACCTGTATAAAAATAGAAATTTACGCTGGTATCAAGAGGTTACATTTAGAACGGATATTTATAGAGCTATTGTTAATTTAGTCCAGTTTTATATTTTCAGGCTGAAATGACATCTAAAAGCCTCTGGGTTTATTTGTTAAAAGAAAGAAATACATGATGTTTCATTGACTTTTTAAATCCCGGCTTCTGAAACAGGTTTGAGTTTGTTCTCATTAACACAAATGTGATACAGGAGGCTCCTTCTCTTTACATAATCAGTGATATATTTAGCTGGTTGTAATAAATGGGTGGAGTCAAAGTCTGCTTTTTAGTAAAAATCCCTAAATGTTTGCTATGATGTTTGAACAAAAGCAAGGAGGTTTTTGAGTTGTAATCATAAATTGCACAGATTCCAGAGGTCATAAACAGCCTGCAGGCGATACTTTGGACACCTCAGCTGTAGTTTGTCTGCGGTCCTGAGGCCCCTCTTATGCTTTCCTCCCAAACAGCATGCCTCAATGCCCTCCTATTGGATTTAGGTCATAAAACTGTGATGTCCATCAATAAGTTTAATGTCCTGAAGTTCCTGAAAGATCCAATGACGATGCATTTGCTGTGTACTCTACATACACCTGCAAGGCTTTAGAAAAAATATGAACCCACAAACAACACAATCCTCCTCTGTACTTACCAGATACACTTTTCCAATTTATTCTCAGATGCACAAAGCTCATTATTAGGCTTTTTTTTGGGCAAATTGCCTGGTTCCAGTTGAAAAATGCAGCACAGCTAATTACCTGCTGGCTGTGGATCTCTAACAGTTAACTCTGTGTGCTTTAACAATATTATTAGTCTGGATACCGGACATGGAATACCTGATACGTCTGCTCTATATTCTATCATAGTCATCATCCAGGAAAGAATACAGAAAGGAAATAGCAATCAGAAGGATCGGATCACTTTGAAATATAAGATATAAATGTAATATTTTGTAAATTCAATTAAATTTGAGGGTTTAAGTGATTAAAAATCATCTCAATATAGAATGACAATAAATCAATAAATCAATGGAAACCATAAGGATTATATTTATATTTAGTGTATTGCACTACAGCAGTAGGGTTATCTGTTTTCTCCTTCTAGGATAAGTTATCTGACTTCTTTGAGCATTTTTTTGGCCAACAGGTGACGTGCTGGTGATGGATGAGTATGGCTACATGTATTTCAAGGACCGCAGCGGGGACACGTTTCGCTGGAGAGGAGAGAATGTTTCGACCACAGAGGTGGAGGGAGTCATCAGTGGGCTGCTGGGACACACTGATGTAGCCGTATATGGAGTGCCTGTTCCAGGTATGAATCATATAACGCTATCCAAGTTAACTTAAACTTGAAGACTTCTGAGCCGTCTCTCTCAGCTACCACTCTGTGTTTGAGCAGGCGTGGAGGGCAGAGCAGGTATGGCCGCCATCGCTCACACAGGAGGAAGTTTGGACCTAAATGAGTTTTTGAGTGCTGTACAGAAAGCACTTCCCTCCTACGCGCGGCCCCTCTTCCTGCGAATCATGCTGTCTGTGGACACCACAGGTTAGGCTGAAATTCAGAGAGTGAAAAAAAAAAGAAAAGAAAAAAAGAAGAAAACAAACAGTTTGATTTTTTCCCATTTTCTCTCCCAGATACATTTAAAATAAAAAAGACACGTCTGCATAAGGAAGGCTTCAAACCACAAGACAGAAGGGAGGAGATCTATTTCCTGAACAGCCGTGCTGGAAGTTATGAGCTTGTTACTGATGAACTCTATAAAGCCATCATGGCGGGTGAAGTTCCTCTTTGAGACAGAAGGACATCTATAACGCATAATATGCTGCAGATTTTATTCTAAAAACGAACTCCCTGTAATATGGAAACAAATACTACAATTCGAATATGTTTTGTTAAACAAATAATGCTTTTGTGTTCTTTTGTACTATATCAATAAAATATGTTATACATACAATGATGTATACCATACATTCTTCAATAATAAAACCAGACTCAGTCTTTCAGGGTATTGCTGCAGATGACTGCCTTTAATTTTCATTCCATTCACCTGTCTAGCTCCGCCCAGTTTCTCATCACCGCTCATCTGTGTCATATGCTCCAGTCTCTATTTAATCTGCCTCCTTCCAGTCTTCACTGCCAGATTATTCGAGCCCTTGGTGAGAGTTCTCTAGCATACCTGATTGTGTTCTCATTGCTGGATCCTGACCCGTTCTTTGCCTTCGGACTAGTTAGCCTGTCTGTTCCCGTTTTGATCTGTTTGCCTGACCTGTCTATGGACTCCTGCTGGATTCTGCCTGTTGACCAAACCTGGATCTGCTTCCTGACAGCAACCTGGATTTTCTTTTGGTAACTCTTTGGATCTATGATCTTCTGAGTCCTGTTAACCTCTTCAACACCAGCTTTGGCTTCGCCTTCTGGAAACTCCTGCCTTCCTTCTTCTGCTTGGATCTGATCTCCTGCCAGTTCTGCAGTCTTCAAGGCTTCATCATCTGGGACTCTCTGGGAAGCATTTGCCGTGTCATGTTGGCAGCCATTTGGCTAAAATCCACTCCTTCCTCTGGGCAAGGACTGAACTCTAAGACCAGGTTAGTGACTAATACCTTGGTAATCAATCTCCGTCAGATTTACCTGGTCACTAACCTAAGTTTTCCACCTGCAGAGGTTCCTGCCTTAGATACCCTAGCTCCTCACTGCAGGTCCGCTGCATTTTAATAAATGCCTTTTGAGAAATTTTTCTGTCTACCTTGATTAATGGGTCCTTTATTATGAACCATGACACAGTGGTGGAAAGTAACAAAGTACATATACTTGAGTACTTTTTGAGTATCTTTACTTGGGTAATTTGTTTCTTTTTTTGGTGTGGGGGGGGGGGGGGGGGTTACTTATAATTTTGTACTCCACTCCATGTCTAGGAAGTTGATAGTCTGATTATTTTTGGCTCAGCTTAGCTTTTTAATCTTCTGTTGCTGTTATTCTTTATTGAAATACAATTTCAACATGGCAGATAGCAGCCATTAGGGCTGAGTTTGGACACCACTGTTTAGAGATTTTCATGATGTTCCACAAATAGGAGAAACTCAGGGCAGATATTTGTATTTCATCCATTTTATCAAGGTGTTAGTTATTGACATGTGGCCAAGTTGTGCTGTAGGATGAGTTCTCAGAGCAGAATTGTAGTTTCTCTGTGGTCATAGATTCAACCTAAAACCTCTTTTCCATAGTGAAATGTGAGGAGAATCAAGACTCTACTGTTTCCTTTTTGGTTTGCTTTTAAAATGAGAATCTGAAGCAGGAAGTTTTATGCATTATTAATACATCAGGTGGTTTCTGAAAGTTACAAGGTTCTTAAAAGTTACTCGGAAAATTATGCAGAAATATACTAATATTGGAAAATGAAATTTGTAGTTTTTAATTCTTAAGTACTTTTAAATGCATGTACTTTTGAATAATTAAGTATTTTCAAAAGTGAGTACTTTTACTTGTATTTGAGTAAAATATGAATATGAGTATTAATACTTTAATCAAATACTGCTGTTGACTATTTAGTCCATCACTGCCAAGACTGATGGTGAAAACATGTCTGTGCTGGAAAAGAAAAAAGTATTTTCTATGATAGGGTGTTTTTTTTATTTCTATTCTTTATCTCTAAGTAACAGTTAAGCATAGAAACCCAACACCATGAAGTGCTGACTTCATAAACCTTCTCTCAAGAAACTCTTACAGAGGGCAAAGAGTGGCTGTGCTGCATAACATTAATTCATCTTAATCAACAAGAGAATATCTCCTGCCTGCTTTAAACACCAGATCCAAGGCAAAAACTAAAGTGTGTAAAGAAACTGAGCTACAGTCAGACCCATCTGAAGTCAAAGTGTCAAATCTGGCTATAGTAACTGCATATGATATTAATACTGGAAATATGATGATATGAAAAGCAAAACTAGTGTTATGTAAAAGCTGAAGGAGTTTTACTGAATACATTTACATTTTTGCACTTATAGCTTCAGAAGTTCCCTCGGTTTCCATTGCCATATTTGAACAAAATCATAACTGAAGTTCATAGTCTCCCTAGTGGACCAGTCAGGTCAGTGATGTGCAGAATATTTGATGTGCATATATTTCATTTAATCACCCCCCCCCCCTGCAAACGCATACAAAGACTGCAAACTAGGTTAAAAAAAAAGTGCATTATGGCACTAGTATCATACTGCTATAGATAATGAAATGTGTCCGTTTTTAATTTATTTCAAAGGTTTTTGAGGTTTCCACAGTCTGCGACGGTGGTATTCAGGGCTTGGTTCAATGAAACATGGTAGCTTACTTTAAATCTGCTCTTTCTACTCAGTCTCCCACCATTTTTTTATGTTCGATGTCTCCTCTTTTTCAATTGGTTTTGTTGCTTTTTTCTTTTTCAAAGGACACATTTCTCTTGTCTTCATTTCCCAAATCAAATGTTCAGCATCCATTTCTCTCATTACATTTTCTGCTGTATCTTTCTTTGTGGGCAGGTTGCCTTTTGTGTTCTGATCCTATGAAATAGTCACAGTATCTTTTAGGGGAACATAATCTGAGCCTAGTCTGATTGTCACTGCCTGTTCCAAAACTGCAACTCTACCAACTAAAGAGCTACACTCAAAGTAGGGATAGACTGTCTCTGTGAAACAATGAAAAAAGGTAAAAATTGATGCATCTGCATCAGCATCTATGAATTCTAGTGTCCCTCCTTCACAGTTCAGTCTTATACGGACTGTGGTGAGGCGATGCGAGTTGCCAAGGTCGAGGGTCTGAGTGGGAGTCGTGAGAACTTGGTATTCTCCATCCTTAAGACTGATACACCAGAGTCCAGATTGTTGACGTGCTTCATGTTTAGTCTTTGTCAGCGTGGATGTAGCAGCTACGCCAACAGTCCAGCTGCTTGTATCACCAACCTGTAAGACAAACGACAGACCTTTAGTCGAAATCTTTTGGTTAGTTGATGTTTCAGGCTGGTTCCTGCTCTGTTATATATCATTATGTAGTTAAGTCTTGGATCATGACTGAGTGCCTTATTCTTTTGCTTAAGAAATTGTAATTATTTAATGATTATCTTTTAGGCTCTAGTGGCCTTTGTTTTTGTTATTTTGTTTGAAAGCATGCAGACAGGAAAGTGGGTTACAAGAGAGACCTGTGACAATCGCTCTACCTCCACACCACAGCAGTACCCCAGAAATGTTCAGCTTCCCTGGCCTTTAGCTTTGGGACATCCTTCCTAATCAGGCTTCCTAATCATTTTCAAAACCCGATTACACTGTCTTTTTTATTTTATTTTACAGCTTCAGCACTTAAGTTTGATTTTTAACAGCAGTTGGTTTTAATTACTCAGTCTGTAAAGTTTTAGGAAAGACTTTTAAAATTAATCTTAGGGTTAAAGTAATATTTTTTACATATATATAAAAAATGTCTATCTTATATCCCTGATCTATACTAAAAGATACTAAAGATGACTTTCAATAAAGGTATTTAACCTTTGGTGCAGGTTAATTGGAATTGCCCACGAATAGCCCCAGTTAGTGTTGGACAAACAGCAGATTCTACCTTACTCTATGCAGACGACACTTTAATTCATACAAGTCATACATACAAAACTCCCTCCCATAGTTTTGGAGAAGCGTTAGTGGTTTGGTTGTCTTTTCGATATAAAGTTAATTTCCCTTCAAAGTTTACTGCTATGAATGAATAAATATTCTCTTTACCTTCTCAAATAATTGCCTTGATAGAAACGTTATATATGGGAATTTCAATGAGTGATATTAATAATCCTAATGAGGCTTGTGGTAAAAAAAATTTGTTCAAGTATCTGTTCATACTGACAAAATAGACAAAGATGTCGATAGAAAGCGTTCAGTAATCTCAGTAATCAAAACAAAACACAGACTAAAAGTTTTAAACTCAATGATCCACGACCTTGTCTTATCATTGACATAGAAGAACTTCCTTTTCACAGGAATGTTTCCCCCCAAAAAATGCAGTTTCCTAGATGGCCAAACTCTGACAAATTTCGGGCAGTTGAACAACAACTGAAGTTAAAGGGTCATTGGTGCTCATCCCCTCCTTTATGAAATAGTCCCTGCTTTATGTCGAGAGTTACAAATCATTTTAAAAGACATATTAGCATAATAAGATCAAGGGATAAGATTAATCTTGAAATGCAAAAAAGGAAGATTGGGCACTTGTCTATACAAGTGCTATACACTTGATTAAAATGTTAACTTACAATTAATAAAATTGAAATTTGTCTTCAGAAAGATGGTCCTGGGTTCAATTCCCAGTGAAGGGTCTTTCTGCGTGAAATTTCTCAGAAGAAGATGGATGGATGGATGGATGGATGCCCTTCAAATGATTCAATCAGACCCTATCTCTGACAGATATGAAACAATACCGTTGCACCAAAAGGATAATTCCTATTATTCTTAGCTAAAGGGTTGTATAGTTTCTGATAACACTTTACATTTTGTCTGATTGTAGTTAGAGCTCTATGTATAGATGTAGGAAAGCCAAATACAAGGAACTCTGTTTATGCTGTCTGAATGTACATCAATAGATATACACTCACCGGCCACTTTATTAGGTACCCCATGCTAGTAACAGGTTGGACCCCCTTTTGCCTTCAGAACTGCCTCAATTCTTCGTGGCATAGATTCAACAAGGTGCTGGAAGCATTCCTCAGGGAGTTTGGTCCATATTGACATGATGGCATCACACAGTTGCCGCAGATTTGTCGGCTGCACATCCATGATGCGAATCTCCCGTTCCACCACATCCCAAAGATGCTCTATTGGATTGAGATCTGGTGACTGTGGAGGCCATTTGAGTACAGTGAACTCAGTGTCATGTTCAAGAAACCAGTCTGAGATGATTCCAGCTTTATGACATGGCGCATTATCCTGCTGAAAGTAGCCATCAGAAGTTGGGTACATTGTGGTCATAAAGGGATGGACATGGTCAGCAACAATACTCAGGTAGGCTGTGGCGTTGCAACTATGCTCAATTGGTACTAAGGGGCCCAAAGAGTGCCAAGAAAATATTCCCCACACCGTGACACCACCACCACCAGCCTGAACCGTTGATACAAGGCAGGATGGATCCATGCTTTCATGTTGTAGACGCCAAATTCTGACCCTACCATCCGAATGTCGCAGCAGAAATCGAGACTCATCAGACCAGGCAACGTTTTTCCAATCTTCTATTGTCCAATTTCGATGAGCTTGTGCAAATTGTAGCCTCAGTTTCCTGTTCTTAGCTGAAAGGAGTGGCACCCGGTGTGGTCTTCTGCTGCTGTAGCCCATCTGCCTCAAAGTTCGACGTACTGTGCGTTCAGAGATGCTTTTCTGCCCACCTTGGTTGTAACGGGTGGTTATTTGAGTCACTGTTGCCCTTCTATCAGCTCCAACCAGTCTGGCCATTCTCCTCTGACCTCTGGCATCAACAAGGCATTTCCGCCCACAGAACTGCCGCTCACTGGATGTTTTTTCTTTTTCGTACCATTCTCTGTAAACCCTAGAGATGGTTGTGCGTGAAAATCCCAGTAGATCAGCAGTTTCTGAAATACTCAGACCAGCCCTTCTGGCACCAACAATCATGCCACGTTCAAAGTCACTCAAATCACCTTTCTTCCCCATACTGATGCTCGGTTTGAACTGCAGGAGATTGTCTTGACCATGTCTACATGCCTAAATGCACTGAGTTGCCGCCATGTGATTGGCTGCTTAGAAATTAAGTGTTAACGAGCAGTTGGACAGGTGTACCTAATAAAGTGGCCGGTGAGTGTAGGTTCATAGAGATTTGGGGATTTATTCACAATTTAGAGTTTCCTGCAGATTGGTGCACAGATCTGTAATATTTGATATGGGCCTGGTAAAAAAAAAAAAAATACCGTAGATCATTTTATTCACCACAGAGGGGCACTCATGAGGCATTCTCATATCACCAGTTTAAAGATTGCACAAAACACAAGCTGGAAAAAGTAAAGGCACAAATAATCCCTCTCCTTTGAATTAAGTAAGGTTATTAGTGCACGCTGCTTTCTTTCACACCTTAAAAAAGCTAAGAAAAGCATTCGTATGAGACTGCTACTCAACATTTAATATTAATTTAATACAAACATTTACAGTATGGGCCTGCTAATTCATAAATGGCAATGATTATGACTAAATCTCTTCATTTTCCTGAATTTTTTAATAATAGCCAACTGCTCCTATGGTCAAACATGCCGCACCCTTACCCTTGCCTCACTGGAGTGTCATTGAAGATTCCCTCTCTAAAATTAGTCTGATAACTTCAAAGTTTTATGTAAAACTTCTATCTTGCTTTTAAACAAATAAAGGATGTCTACGGACCACAACAAAGACCAAAAGTATTTCAAAAACCATCAGCAGAGAAGAAAATGGTACAGAAAGTTTTTTTGTAAAAACTTATTGTTTAAAAAAAGAAAAGAAAAGGAAAGGATTGTTTTTAGAATTGAGGTAGCATCGGGTGAAATCCAATACAGGCTCCACTATCTGAAAATCAAATCAGATATTTCTGAAACAAGAGAAAACTTGCCCCTGCTCCTTCTATCAGGGGAGATGTTACAGATAATTTATGTTAGAACAAAAACATCTTCTCCCCATCACCTATGAGATTGCTCAACTCTGACTCTCCTACTGAGCAAATACGTAAACGATATATATGCTAAATATAAGCTGTTTACAATCACCTGATTTGTGCCACACTAAATATTATGCTCATACTGCAAAATTGGAAGTTTTATTGACAGTTTTTAATATTGTTTTAACCCTGTTTAAATGTTTTATAAATCCAGTTTTAAAAAACTGTCTGGAAAAACAAATGTTATTATGTTATCAATCAATTTGTTTTCCTCTATATAGTGTTAAAGTCTATTTCATTTTATTATTTGTACCTTGGGATTGTGACTCAAACAATTGAATTAATGAAAAAGACCCTCTTTAAAAAGAAATATATATCTCTCAGACCTTCATCTTATTTAGTTAGAGGTATGGGGAGGATTTTTGCAAATTTTTGAAACGACCAGCTCTCTCCCCTTTAAGAATAAATATAATGCATATGCACAACCCTATACCCGCTCCCGAGAGTGGGTACAGGATCTATGAGACCGTGCATGAGCCCATTTTCCTTGTGCACGCTCTGGTTAAATGTTGCTGTTTGCATCGCTCAAACAAGCTTACAACAAGCCTAACAAGCTTAAAAGATTTCCCACTATGTCAGACTCACTACCAGTAAGTGAAAATGGGGACGATCACGTAGGATGACCAAAATGATTGACAATTAGGAGGCCCACTTATTGTGATGATCCACTTGGAAAAAAAACATGCTCCACTATACCTTTAATTTTATGTACTTATAGGCTTCTCTTTTTTATTACAGTGACCTTCAGTTGCTGGATTTTCTGTCTTTAAACATATTGCACAATATGAGTGCACGGCACACTCCAAAACCTAGATAGAAACTCAGCAAAGAAAAATGTTCAGAGAGTCTAAATGAGTTTAAACCAATGCAGCATTAAAATATTACAGAAACATCTGGCAACATGGAAGAGAATTATTAAAAATGTGAAAAGGTTTAAACTTTTATTGTTGCGCATCTTAAACATAGCGATAAAATGATTTAATACATACCACACAAGAAATATACAAATCAATTCAAACCAAATACCATCAGCTCATACATGTCCACACTTTATAGTATGTAAATACCTCAATGTCCCAGCAGTGTACCCCTGTGTTAAAGCCATCTCTTGCCAGAATGCAGGTCTGGGGGTGGAAATGTTCAGGGTTGGCTGGAATAGCCTCATTTATGTGCTGATCTGCTCTCTGTGAGGGTCCAGAGGTGATATGAAAACTGTTCAGCTCTGAAGACACCCTCACAACCTCGCCTGCTGTTCTTGAATCCAGAATCACTGGAGCTGCAAGAAATCAGGTATTTAAGAAACATCGAAGAAGGAAACAGAGCAGATCATAAGGAAAATGCATGGATGCTTGGGAGGACACAAACCGTAGGGGGCGATTTGTTTCATCTTCTCCCAAACGGCATAGCGGAGGTTCCCTAAGTGTTTTGCTACATTGATTAAAGGTCTGTGAATCCTTTCAGGCTTCATATCACCACACCATGTGCTGCAGTAAAGAAATATTTACAGAAAAATGTAGTTTTCTCACATGTATGGATCTACCAAATCTTATAAATACACATACCTACTCATTGCATTGTTGTACCCCTGGGGAAGACAAATAGTCTGAGATTAATTTCTTTTTTGTCCAGTTTCATAGCATAAAGATTTTATTTGATGATGTCACCTGTAAATATTCAAATCCATCTTCTTCGTCATGGAGCTCTCTTTCTGTCAGCTGGATCTTTTCCTCCAGAAGTGTTATCACCTCACTCAGTCTGTTCATCCTCTCCTCAGCCTTCCTTGTCTTTTCTTCCATCTCCTCCATCAGTGTGCGAAGCCTGGAGGCCTTCTCTTCTCTCAAAAACTGATGGAGTTTTGTGATTTCTTCTTTCAAAGTCTCCTCTCTGAGTTTGGACTCAGTCTCAAGAAAACAACATTAAACAGGTAAAGTTAATGGACATATACAGAAAGGTGGGAAAAATGTATATGTGGTATTTTAGATGCACCTGAATGCGTTTGGATTCCTTTTTGCACATTTGAAGGACATCTTCAAAGTTTTTCAACCTCATGTTCAAACCAGATAAAGATGTTTTTAGCTCCTCCTAGTGTTTAAAGGGAGATTTACTTTATAACCAAGCATTATGGAACAGTTTAAATCTTTTAACACCGAATAAGTTTAAACCAATTTCTCTATTTATATTTAATTACAGCTATTACTAAGCAAAAATACCAATTTTAGGACATTGCAAGAAATTAGACACCAGATTGGGTAAAATAAGAGAATATTTTGGAACATTTTATGTATACAACCAAAAATGGCTCCCAGGGCTCACAAACTTAATTTTCAATGATCAAATTCCTTGACAAACAATTTACAAGTAATCCCTAAACTAGTTATGTCAACATTGATCAATTTCTTCACAAAAATAAATGGTGTTTTTTCACAAACTAAAATAAGGAAGACAAATAAACCAATCTTAGAGGTAGGAGATTCTGTTACATAGTCAAAAGTTACAGACTTCAATGAGCTGACCAAACCGGGGACTAAATATTATTTACTTCATTTTTTTTTTTATTCTTTTTTATTTGAAATTTCTATGTTGTTGTTTTTTTTGATAGCATGAGATGATAGCATGAGTTCCAGACAAAAGTCGCTTATCAAATGTCAGGTATAAGGTATAAGAATTAAATCTTTTTATGTTTTACCAGACAACATTTATCTTCATTTAGCTTGAAGAATTATAGAACAGCCTGCATCCTTTTGGTTTTAATATGACACATTTTATTTTCTCCAAACAAACAAGAGGGGAAAATAAATATATTTGTTTCACCAGCTACATCACCCAAGTATTTTTATTTTAAATGTCACAATTATAAATAATTATTGCTGTTGGTGTTAGCACTGTTAGCACCTCTGTGCTGAGAGTATTTGTCTATGTACAAGAAAAAGCAAAACTGAATGTACCAAAGGAGATTAAATATTGTATAAGTTGTTATTTTTTTCGATAAAATAATAAAGATTCTATTTTAGAGCATGGTCACAGCATTTTAACTCCTTTTATTACAGCTTAATCTAAAGGTTGAATTTTTCTCAGGCAGAAGAAAACATAACAGTGATAACTAAGGAGATTTTTAGTCTATGTTTTACTTTGATATTAAAACACAACAATGTGCTGGTTTGTGAAATTCTGTTATGCCACAAATCATATGTACATTATAAGATATGTGATTTGGTGCTTAGTCTCTTTGGGATGAAAATATTTCTGAATATTTCAGTTACCCCAAATCAGACATAAGTTTTAAAAAACCTACAAGTCTAGTTGTTTCAAATCTACACACACACCAAAAAAAATCAAGAATGAAAATGGAAAGTCAAGAGGGCCCAGCATTATCAAAGGTAGAGCAACTACAGTACAACTACCTTTAATTAATGGGATTCTCTAAGCACAAAGTAATCTAGAAATAACATTTCTATTTCCAGTTGATCCCATATAGGTTTAAAGGTTGTTAGGAAAATGTTTTGTTGACAGATAAACCTGCATAATGCAAGACTGAAAATGCTTAGCATAGGTGTCCCTACCCGCTGTGAAATCATGGGGGCCATGGTGGCACCAGAATGTATTTTAGAATCAAATTCCTTCGGAAAAATGAATGCAGAGATATCAGCCAGGAGCTCTAACCTTCTCTTTGGAAAAAAAAAAGTGCTATATTTTAATGTTTTCATTTGTTGTATTAAACTTGTGTGCTTATGCAAAATACTACCTATATGTTATAAAAATGTCTTTGTTTGTAAAAAGTGCTTTGCTTCAGTCAAGACTGAGATTTTTCTAATTGGAGGTTTGAAACTCTAGATAATCTGTTGTTTTTATAAGAGAACTCATCAAATAAAATGTGTTTTATAGCATATAGTATAAGTTAAACTCCTTTCCAATTATAACTCAAAGTAGCTTACTTTGTTTCCTTAAATCTCTTTAGAGCTCTAACATCAGTGGTTAGCCCCACCTATGAAACATTAAATGCATGAGGAACTTCTATCCATTGTGTAGGATATACATTTTTTTAACATGAGATGAGTAATAGTTTCAGTTCAAGCAAGCAAGCATTTTATACTTTTCTCAAAGTATAAAATGTTGCAGCAATAGTATACACACACCTGACAACCCACCAGTAAGTCTTTGATTTTCAGGGTTTTCTTGGTTATTTTTTTGATTGGTTGTATTTAATGAGGCAGGTTTTTTAGCCAAGATTGAAAAAAACTATAAAGTATGACTTGTGCATTTTTCTCCCTTAGTAAGAAGGATGGAAAACAAACATTTACAGGACATGTTAAAGAGGCCTCTAAATAACCCCCCTTGTTTAGATGCAAATGAAAAATACACAAGGCTCTTTCAGTGCACGGAAAAAGGGTTCAGATCCTGTAAGATGGGTCTACTGAGAATCTTTTGGTTACTTGATGCCTTTTGTGAATGTTTAGTTTGGCATCCTGCCATCAAGGCTATAGGATAACAGTATTTAAGCATTCTTGTTGGCAGTTGACTTTTAGTGTCCAGGAGAGGAAAAAAACGTAATTTCTGCCAGCTGTTTTGCTTCTCATCCCTTCAGGATCTTCTTTATTGCTGTCCTATTGCTTTTCTTTCACAGTCATCTCGGACCTTAAATTCAAATCCTGCAGAACCTGAGTACTGTCCTCACGGCAAAATGGAGTTGTAAAAATGACCACTTCATACAGTTTTAGATTTGGCCATCTGAATTCTCTTTTAATATTCTGCGTGTTGACATTTGATGTAGAACGTTTATGAGCAAGATTCTAAAGCCGAGACACGGTGGTCTGGTTACAGAAAAGAAGGAGCAGAGTGAGCAAAATGTAGGTTAATCACTACTTATATCAAACTGTCATGTTTTTCCTGATTTTATTGAAATATTAATACATTTTTCCTTGTCTTAATAATTGCAATTAAATTAAAGTTAATTTAAGTTATGCTACTCGAATTAAAAGGATTTATTTAAGCACTTTATCTTTTAAAAACATGTGGTGGTAGCTATGAACTTTATCAACTGATAAAGGTGGATCTTTGGGGGATGTATTTGGTGATCTGGATGTTTGAGTGGTTTTGGAGTCTGTGTTTCAAGGAAGACAAATGAGGGTGGTTGGGCTAAACACCAATGGGCTCAACAAACTGATTCACAAAGCCAGTAAAAATATTGGAGCAGAACGTTGACAGTAGGTTGTTGTCTAAGCCAATATCACAATTAAACCATTCTTTGAAGATAGGTAGGCCTAAATCCAATCTACACATACTAATAAAATACTATTTATACAATTTCTATGTAAACTAGATTTATACCAACCACCACCAGCAACCGCTCGCGTTATTATGAAGAAGAGTGATTTCAAGCGCAGGTTGTTGCGTTTTTGATGTTTTTTTCTAAGTATACTCCCGTCTTTTTCCTGCCCCCTGTCCATGATTTTTTTGGTCAAAGGGCCCAAAATAGGGAGCGTATCACCTGAACAACAGAGGTAGAGGGAAGGGCGGGAGTGGTGGGGAATCAGTGTGAGAACAGCGGCACAGAGAGCTCGAGAACCGGATGATTCGGTCAGTTATGCTGCCCTCTAGGGCTAAGACAGCACAGCAGTAGAGGTAGAAGCTTGCCACTGCTAGCTCAGGGAGAAAGCTAAGGAGCAGAGCGATAACTCAGAGAGCACTTCTAAGAGCTGGTAGTTATGGCCCAGTAGACTACAGCTTTCCTGGGCAAGCCACAGGCTAACTGAAGTCACTTACAGCCATCTTGGTACTCCCCACTTTCACGGAGCCGCGCAATAAAAATGCCTGTAATGTAAAGTAATTACTGGAACAGTGTAATCAATACATGTATATTACATGTACAGCATCAATGTAGCACCTTTGGCACATCATCAGATAATGTGTGTGTCCATGTGTAATATTCTTAATATCTGACTACAGTACAGTATTATTATGCTCCATCAACACACAGATTTTGTTGTGATGGATTTATATCATATGTTATATTACATGATTTATAGTCTTGATAGACTTCATACTGACAATGCAATGTGATGTGCCTATTTTTTTTTACCTCAAATCTACAGATGTAATGACACAGCAAGTGTGTGTCAAAGTGATGAATTTATCTTAATTTTAAAAGTCTTAAGCCCCCTGAATATGAGAACATAATTGTTCCATGCTGTAGCATACGTATTTTTTACCTTCCAGCTGGGCTAACTAGAGAGTACCAATATGGCAGCTGGTGACTTCACTGCACCATGTACTACCAACGGCCTATCAGCAATCCAGCAATGCTGGACATAGACAGAGGACCACTGGGGATCAGAGGAGCCAGCGGCCGGACTGAGCGGCAGAGCGGGATGAAAGAAGGCCTCAGTTCGTCTGTGTCTGTGCAGTAGGATACAAAACAGTAGTTCTACGGATATGATTAAAAAATATGTTTTAAAAGCTTGATACTGTGATCTATTGTAAATACACCTCATCATCAATTGACAAGATAGGTAAAGCAGACGTTGCAGAAGCCATTGTATGCCATGACGTTCTCCATATTGTTGGAGAGGAGAGGCAGTGTGAATTCTTAAGAATAGCTATTTAAGAATAAATTCTTAAGAATAAACCAATCATCTCTATTATTAACCTAATTGTCCTCTTGGATTACCATAGTTTTCTATTTCTCACTCCGTTTCTAAAAATGCTCAAAAAAAAAAAGAACCTAAGGCTGAGGAGAAAAACTTCTGGTAAAGTTTTTTTTCTATTACTATGGTTAAAGACAAAGTTGGTATTAGCAGTGTCCAATTAATGCATTTCCAACAACACCTCAACTTATGTATAAACATAAGAATGTGAGGATAAAAATGAGAGGCATTTCTTCATATCCAATTTTGATGAATCCATGTTTATTCCTTATTTTGTTTCTTTTTTAATCTATCTATTTACTTCCTCATAAACATGCAAATGTAAGCATTCAGAATCAAGGCAAAATATCTCTGTTAGATCCACTTAAAGAAGCACTAAATCCAAGAGTTCCTACCTTGCAGTCAATTGCAGCCTCGGCTAAAAGGTAAACCCTGTGGTATGCGTGGCTGTCGGCAGCACATTGTTTACATAAGGGCTCCAGGTCATCCAAACAGAACAATGACAGGTACTCCTTGTGTTCTTCACAACATCCTGTAGACTCCAGTGATGAGGAAGGACCGACTTCTGCCCCTGATCCAGGCAGTGGTGAAGAAAGGGAAGCCTGGTCACTCATGGTTGTTCTGACAGATATGAGGGCTGTTTTTGATTGTCCGAGAGAAGCACTGAGGGAAGCTGGGAACTGGAGAATGGCAAATAGGAGGTGCGCTTGAGAGTTTTAGTGTCAGGATTGCACGGTGGTTGGCACACATCTATTTAGAAGAAGTGAAGCTAAATGACTGAATATCTGCTTACAGTCTTCTCAGCTGTTGACTTCTACCTTATGAAGCTGTCCTTCAAACAGCAGAGTAGATTTGATTTTCTTCTTTAACTCTGGGATTTATTATAGATTCTTGCGATCCTTACTGCATGGCCCCTTTCTTCCTAATGAGTCATAGTAAAAAGAAAGTAAGTTCCGAAAAAATCTGTTCTTCACACAGTTCTAAAATGACTTTAATCTAACTTTAAGCATTCAAACTGCATATAAATCTAAATGCGTGATTATTTATTAAATAAAGATACAAAAATTTGAAAATTTTGTGTGAGACAAAGTGAAATCAGATTTCTCTCTAACAGTCAAATTGGGGCTTAATTTTTACCATAGCTGTTTTTCAAAGTCTGAATAATATGTTAAGGTGGTCAGCTGAGTGCAAAGTTCTGCTGTTTGACATATAACGCGTCTGTATGGATCCGGTTTCATTGGCCTTTAACACTCAGATCTTGAACTCTCATGAAACAGATCAGTTTCAGATTCGATTCATGTTTCATTGCCTGTTATACATCAATCAATATGTTCTAGGTTAATGATGGTAGGGTAAATGACACAAAACATTGTCTTTTAGCTTTTTATTTGCAACTTTTTTCTTAAATAAAAGAATATAGAGTTATTAAGCATGTTAAAACTCAAAAAAGTTCAAGTGACATTAAAGCAGTTCTTAAAATAAACTCAAAAAAGCTGCTCTGTGTTCAGGCATAGACATCGGTAAATCTATAGCAAATCCCCTTTGAACTTATGGGATCTCAGGGCACATAGGTGCAGGTTTTGAAAACATGTTTGATGTCCCTCTGTCATAATCTGCTCTGATAGCTGGCCTTAATTGCTTATTTCACTCACCTGCCTAGTCGGCCCAGTTCCTAATCATCTCTTATCTCATCCCCCTGTAGGTTCTGCTTTATATTCAGTCCAGCCCAGCTATCGGGGCCAGATCATTGTTTGTTTTCTGTTTGATTTCTGTTAGTGTCCTGTCTGTCAGTTTACTTAGTTATAATTATTTCTAAGGTTCATGTTCCAGTGAGGAGTTTATTCTCTAGCCAGTGTCCTCAGGCAAGTATTCCGTAACCAGTGGTGAGGCGTTTCAGCGTTTCCCTTGGGATTCTGTCTTCCTCGTTCTATTTCTGTCATAATCTGCTCTGATAGCTGGCCTTAATTGCTCATTTCACTCACCTGCCTAGTCTGCCCAGTTCCTAATAATCTCTGATCTCGTCCACCAGTAGGTTCTGCTTTATATTCAGTCCACCCCAGCCAGATCATTGTTTGTTTTCTGTTTATTTATATATTATTATTTATTATGAAAAATCAATGTGTCTCATATGTCATATGAAGTTGCTGCCTAAAACATGGAGCAGAACAATGGTCATTGAAAATAAGGGCCCAATTAAATCTTCACATAATAAGATTAAACTTTGTTCTGAATATGTATGTCCAAAGAATATACTCATCATTCTTCCATTTTTATAGCTGTACACTAAATATTAAATGTAAAGAAACCATTGCTGGTTAATTTTCTTAGCATTTCAATAGATTTAAACAAATTAGGTTGTCAAATTAATTTCCCAAAGATGACATGGCTGACAGGACCTGTGTAAATCTAGAACTAGTTAAAATGACTACTATCATCTCACAGATTTTCACACAACCTAGAAAAGACCTCTTCCACTGTTTTCTATGGCTTCAAATTAGCTAGGATATCAGGACATCAGGGAGAAGGTTTTCCTTCCGTTTGTCTCATTATTGACTGTCAACACATATTAGGCTTATTGTGCGTTGCACAATGAAAAAGGCATGCGAGTGATGTCAGAGGTAGGAGAAGATGTGAGGATGAACAGGTCTAAAACAGAAGAGGTTGGAGTACAGAAGGAGTTACATTAATTGACTGATTGACTTTATTGATCTCACAGGGAAAAAGAAATGTACTCATTACATCAGCTCAAATAGTCAAAGAAGAAGAATGTGCCAAAGGAAGAAAAAGGTGCATGGGATATATACAGTATATACAGTGCATCCACATTTGACAGCTTGTTTTTTTGCTTTTTATAGCAGGATTATTACATAGGTTTATTGCACAGGGTGTTTACATGCATGTTTATATAGAGGGATATTTATATTTATATATATACGTATTGCACTGGGTGTCAGATATAGAGAAACAAGTTAATGAACAGGGTCTCAAATAATAGATTGCACATTATACATTGCACAAGTTATTGCAGTTATAGTGCCGCATTGTAGAGTCCGGTTGCAGCAGGGATGAACGACCTGTGGTCGCGCTCCTCACTAAAGAAGCTGCTCAGCTCCTCTACAGCCTGGTGCAGAGGGTGGAAAGTGTTGTCCATGATGGATGGTCCACTTCCTCCACTGAGTCCAGAGTGCAGCCAGGGACAGAAGCAACCTTTCTTGCTAGTTTGTTCAGTCTCTTTCTGACCCACTCTGTGCTGCCAGGGGCCCAGCAGACAACAGCATAGTGGAAGGCTGATGCTACCACAGAGTCATAGAAGTTTTAAAGCAGGGGCCTGCTCACTCCAAAGGACCTCAGCCTTTGGAGATCCTTACAGGAGAGGAAAAGACTCTCACACAAACCAATTGCTGTTTGGTTCAGTTAATGGACTGTTTACCTTCATCACAACAGACAACATTTAATACAAAAATGATTTTGAGAAATCCTAAACAATTACCTGACCTAACTATTATTCTGACCTAAAACTTTCCAGTTGTGCACATCTGGTTTTAAATGCTTTGAATTTCGGCTTCACAGGTTTCTAACAGTGTGTGTTACAGACATAAAGGATAATTTGACTCGACTTTATAAGCATCACTCTTGCTCTCATCTGCTTAAACACCTGAGGAGGAAACACTCATGTCACTCTGAGCCCGGCCCACTAATGGAGCCTGCTGTGAGTCCATTACCAAATTTTCTCAAATGCAGAACACGATTCCATGGTGCAAAAACTCTACTCTTTCTAAACCAAATAACTCCTGTGTTGTTGTTTTCTCTGTGTGTGACTGAGGGACAATGGAGGGATTTTCTATTCTTTGTTTTGAATGTATAAATTTACATGTAGAACAGAAAAGGAACTTGTAAGTTTTAAAAAATAATGTGTTCTATATTTAGTTATACTATGAGAACAGATGAGTTATGCAACACTCCATTGCTGTCAGGTAAAATCAGCCATATTGGGTCGTAAGCAGGATCTGTCACTTTATCGGCTGAATATCAAATGTCTTTGGACTCCATCAAGCCGGTCTGCTGCTCGATCACCTGGCTGACTCAGTCACAGGTAAATCTGACTGATAAGACAGGTGTTTAAACAGGGATTTTCTAATTGTGATGGCTTCTTCTTCTCACCCAAATAGACTTATATACCATACCATACCAACTTTATTTATAAAGCACTTTAAAACAACCACAGTTGATACAAAGTGCTGTACAGTTTAAGAACACAACATAATAAAAATAATTTAAAAACAGTTTAAAAACAAAAAACATACAATTTAAAACTAGATCCCACTGGTGTTGAAAGCCAAGTAAAATAGATGGGTTTTAAGACGAGCTTTAAAAATGGACAAAGAAGGGGCCTCTCTGACCTGCAAAGGTAAGTCATTCCATAATTTGGGGCCCATAACAGAGAAAGCTCTGTCCCCTCTGAGCTTCCTTTTTGTTCTCGGTTCCTCCAAGAGCAGCTGATTTGCTGACCTGAGAGACCGATGGGGTACGTAGGGATGAAAGGTAAGCTCAGAGAGGTAAGCTGGGGTAAGACTATGCAATGATTTAAAAACAAACATAAGAATTTTAAAATGAATCCTAAAGTATACAGGCAGCCAGTGAAGTGAGGCCAGGACAGGGGTCACATGCTCTCTCTTTCGAGTACCTGTCAAAAGTCGTGCAGCAGCATTTTGTACTAGCTGCAGACGTGAGAGCAGCGACTGACTGACACCCAGATAAAATGCATTACAGTAGTCCAATCGAGTATGTCCAATATGAGTAAATAAGTTCAATTTATCATCATTCCAAATCTTCATTGCACTTTGCTCCATTTCCACCCTTCTAAAATGGCTTTGCATCTACCTGGGAGAACTTTCTGGAGACTTGAGGGCGTGGCATCCAAATACACATCGGAGAAGGAGCTTTTTAAAAGTTGTACAATGTGTTCACCTTTGACTGAACTCCTGCATGTAAAATACATATCTTATGAAATAAAAAAATATGTTTAAGATCTTATCTTTCTACTAGAGTTGTTGTATATGATGCCTTTCCTTCTTGACAGTTGTGATGGAAGATGAGGGAGCTAAATACAGCACAGTCCTGGTAGAAAACCAGTAAGATGCTGCCAAAGACAGGACAGGGAATGAGGTTTTACCTTTAAGCGGGACAGAAAGCATAAACACAAAACTGGTGCTATAGTGTGAAGGTTTAAAGACATGTTCATATATTAGAATGGCCTAATCAAAGTCCATGATTAAAACAAATGGTAAATCTGTGGCAACATTTGAAATTTGATGCTCAAAGACTTCAACCAATCTGACTGAGTTGGTTATCAAGTGCTCTCTGCTCCAGGTCTTAAAAGCTGTGAGGCGCTCCCTAAGGCTTCTAAGTGTAACTGCAGCCAAACATGCACATCCGGGCTTCACATTTCCCTTTGATGTTAGTAAAAAAACTAATAATAATAGTACAAAAATAAAATTTGTAAGTGTTTCTTCCACCTTACATGCACACACTACTATATGTCTGTCTGCCAAATAGATTTCTAACAAAATACACTGAAACAATTCAGGATGTGGACAAGTTCAGCAGATATGAATCACTTTCCACTGAATTGTAGCGTATTGGCTCTTCTTGGTGCTGATACTTCTGAGCAGCCTTGGACCAGACAATTCCAGGATGTTGTAATGCTTGGATAGGCTGGAGCACTTTGCAGAGTTAAAGACAAAGTGGTCAAAGTGAGAAAGAAATGAGGCTTAAAGAGAAACATGGCACAACAGACTTATTAATGTTGGTAATTTTTTGCTTTCAAACAAAACTTAGGGAAAGATCTGCTGGGTTGCGATTGGAATTAATCCTTGAGAGTATCCTGCAGATCACACTGCAAACATTTAAACAACAGGTGAATAAATGGAATTTTGATTTTTATTCTTAATAAGGAGATTTAAATGTAGCTGTTTTAGAATAAGTTCTATTATAACTCTTCAGGATTAAGGTGTATCTTGTTATCTTTGTAAACTCAATCTCTTGTCAAGCAGACCTAATCTTCAACTCCACCTTGAGATAAAAACCCATCTACCTATAGCCATTCAAGTAAAGGTTTTTTTAAGGAGAGATGCACAATTCTTATTGATAATTGGTAATCATCCCTTCTAGTTGCAGCACTTTGGTGTTTTTCTTCCCCAGAGATGAGATACTGCCTGTCAGAGACCTTTATCCCTCTCCATGTCTGAGCAGACAGCCTGAGTAACTCTGGCTCTGATATCCCTGAATCGGTGTACCATGAAAGTCTGCCCCACAGTTTCTGCTAACACACACCCTAGTGACATGTCTGAAGGCTCTTCATCACTCTGAAAAGCTCTACCCAAGCACTGTGTCTGACAGAGAGGACGTGTTGGACAACTCAACAAAAACCGTCCTGCTTCATAGATCGGAATTGGTCCACTGCTCTGAGCCGGAGAGGACATGGAGAACAGGAAGCAGTAAAACATCACATGTGTCATATCTATGTGAAACAACCATGTATCAAAAAGACATTGTCATGATACTAACATTTCAAAGTCTATATCGATACCCAAGAAAACATTAAAAATACTTAATACCATGGGAATACAACATGCCAAATAATTAAAGAACTAGAAAGATATTTATAAACATTAAAAACTCCTCTTTTCTTATTTAAACATGGAGCATGCTTTCTCAACAGAATCAGAGATTCTATTAATTAAAAATTATATTAATAACCCAACACAAACTGGCAATATTTTAGGTTGTTTGAGATATTATTATGAAGGTAATCAATTTCATATAATTATCCATCCATCCATTTTCCATCACGCCTATCCCAATTGGGGTCGATAGGGGTGCTGGTGCCTATCTCTAGCTGTCCACGGGCAAGAGGCAGGATACATCGCAGGGCAACACAGAGACAAACAAACATTCTCACACACACACACTTAGACCTAAGGAGAATTTAGAGAAGCCAATTAACCCAACGGTCATGTTTTTGGACTCTGGGAGGAAGCCAGAGTACCTGGAGAGAACTCACAGGGAGAACATGCAAACTCTATGCAGAAAGACCCAGGGCCAGGAATCAAACCCAGAACTGCCCACTGTGCCCTCCTTCATATATTATTATTTTAATTTGCAAATACTCCAGAAATCTATAATTAATTGACAATAGCAAACGACATGCAGACAGCACTTGTTTTTGGTATCAATGCTATGATAAAATTAGTCTTGCATCCAGATACAGTGTTTGAATATCGACACTTTTCACAGTATTGATACTTTTGACAACTCAATATAAAAATGTTATAAGCAATATTTTTTTTCAATAAGAGGGTTCAATAGCTTTAGTGGAAATAAAGACTTTTGTTTAAGAAGAGTATTTTATTTTTCAAAATAAAAGATGAAAGATTATTTTTTATGGAATATCTCCTATAGCTTTTTTTTTTTTTTTGGGAGATATGCCTGTTATTTTCTAGCTTACCTGCAAAAAAAAAAAAAAAAAAACGTGTTCAACTTTAAAGATAAACGTTTAATCGGAAAGAAAAATATATATATTATAATCTTCCTGGACTTTTTTGAACAAGCTGATGAGGGGGAATTCTTACAGAAGCGTAGAGCTGTTTTTATTTTAATTACTAAAAAAAAAGTCAAACTTTCCAATGAAAAACGTCGTTCTTGTGTTTTGATCCTTAAAAACCTTCTGTTTTTTTTTTGTTTTTTTTTTATCTCTGCTTCCTGAGTTATACTGGTTGATCTAATCTTAAAGGGGAAGTCCGGATAATTAATTGAACTGTATGCTGCTTATTCATCTATTCAATGTTTATTACTGGTTAAATGCTGTCGGATTCAAAAGCCATGAATACATTCAGCATAAAACTGGAGCACATTGTGGCTAAAGTTATATATTAATGTAGTTGAGAGTCCTCCTTGAAGCGGCCCAGGCTTCCCCTTTAAGTCCAGACCCTCCGCCATGTCCGCAATGTCGGCGTAGACAACAGCTTCCTCTGCTTCTGCATCCTGCGTCTCCCCTTCCTCTCCGGCTGCCTGCCGCGTCAGCTCCCTGTTTTTTCCTCCCTCTCTCCTCCCTGCCATGCTCCGGGTCACCTCGCTGTTGCTGCCTGCCCTGCTGTTCGTCCTGCTGCCGGGCTCGGGCCGTGGATATTTCACGGAGGAGCGCTGGAGCCCCGAGTCTCCTCTCCTGGCTCCCCGGGTCGTCATAGCGCTGGTCTGCAGGAACTCGGCCCACTCTCTGCCGCTGTTCCTGGGAGCCATCGAGAGGCTCAACTACCCCAAGGAGCGCTTAGCGCTGTGGTGAGTTTCACGAATGCCATTAAAAACCAGGATGGTTACTAGTTTAATTTATGAACAGCAGATTCGCTGCGATCCGGAAAGTTTGATTTATTTGTGGAGAATGTTGTCATTACTCAATGTTTGCTTGTTAGGACTCGCTCATGCATGCGGGGATAATTTAGATAAACACGTGCGCTCAATCTGCATGAATCAAAGGATAACAATAAAGATGCAAAGTAAACATATAACAAAAGGTTAGTTTGCCCGGAGAGCTAGAGGGGTAGCCAGAAATATTTTATAAGGGTAACCAATGTATACTGAGGGGTGGCCGAAAATTGATAGGCACCAGAACCTCAGGGTCAATCTACAACAGGAAAGTTAATGAGCACAACATCCATATTTTCTAAATAAATATACTTTTTAAAAAGATACTTTAAATAAACTATACTTTTCTACAACCTTTGCTTACAAATAGACACATAAATATTTAAACATCTCTGCTTTCTAGATAAAAGTATAGTGGATACAATTATCAATGATCATTAGGGCTGGGTATTTTCGCCAAAGTCCTGAATCGATTCGATTTTGACTCATACAGTTCTAAATCGATTAATTTCAATTCAATCTGTTTTTACAATAATGAAATTGGTTCAACTGTGTTTCAAAATACTCATGTATTAATTTTTTTCCTGTCATATTAAACACAAAGTGCAAACTTGTAGATTGGACAGTTTAAACTTGAGATGTGAACAAAACAGTATCAAAAGTGCAACTTGTTTGTGGAAGAAGTGAAAAAGTGAAGCCTCACACGAGCAAGCAGAAGTGACACAGCGGTGACACAGCAGACCTGCATGAGCTGCATTATCGTCAATTCTTCGTTGTCTGTAACAACTACAGGGTGTTTGTTAATGTCTTCAGTCAACCTATTGGGTATATTTGCAGCTGTCTGGCTTGAAGTCATCTTGAGAACATCTTTCCTGCTCATTTGAATGTGAACGTCAAAATTGATATTTACAGGTACTAAAATCTACATAAATTGAATATTTAATACATTTTATTTGAATAGCTATTTATCAATAATTTTACTGAAGACTCCTAGATCACTTGCAGAGAAAAAAAAAGGTTCTCTTTACCTCATAAAACACAAAATCTAGTTCCGAAAAGAACATGAATTCGTATTTATCATCTTTAATGTAAGTATATTTATGTGCATAATTAACCACAGTTTTTTTGTTGTTAAGTAATTGTTAATATATGAAAATGTAAATGTTTTAAATATTCCACTTGGGAGTATTACTGCTGGCACTATCTGTATTATAGGGAAAAAAATGGTTAGGGGTGGCCAATGATTGGCTAAGGGTGGCCATGCCCCCCCGGCCCCCCATCTAGCTCTGCCCCTGCGGAGAGCAGGGCACATAAAACGGGCTCCGCCTGCAGAGACCGTGAAAAGTTCCATTCAGTCACGGATCTTCTTTTTCCCCTTCCCTCCTAGCTCCTCATCCCCATTCCTCCCCCTTTCCCCTTCCACATACCCGTCCTTCTCTCTGCACTAAACCAGAACTTTAAAGGAAATGTATAAAAACAGCTCCTGAGTTTCTGATTCTTGCAGAAATGTGACCATGAAGTTTGGCTGTTAGACAAGTATTGGCAGGAAGGGGAAAAAAAAAAACACTGCAGGCTGTTCTGTCATCCTGCACAGATTATTCTCAGATCAGCTCCCTCGCTTCCCCTTTTTCTGTTTTCCTTTTTTATTTCTCTGCTATAAAGTGCGTCTCTGGTGTTCGGATCCTTTCATTAGAATTCAGAGTTTCTATTTCATGGTCCAGTTGGATTTACAAGGAAAACCTCGGTTTCAAAACTGACAGGAGGTTGTTTTGTGGCTTCAAATTTGACTTCTAATAGATTGTAACCATTTTAATGGAAAACACAAAGATTAAATTTGTTATTCAATTGTTTATGAATCTCTTTAAAAACAAAAACAAAAAAAGCAAGTCTTGATGTTGAGCTCTTCCTTCACAATTTGTGCCTGGGGGTTTATCCCGCCTCATGTGGAGAGCAGCTTTTTGTTCTGATTCATGACAGACGTACACATTTTGTTCGTGCCACTGTCACAAACTTCAACATACTCTCTGGGTTAGACAAGTGAAGTTGAAATAAAAAAGGATTCTATTTTTTCTAACCGATAAAAATATTAAATATGTGAGAGGAATGAAATTTTACCCCCTTTACTCTGAAACCCTTAAATAAGAATGCAGTGAATCCAGTTGGCATTAAAGGTGACCTTATTAGTTACTCAGCCCCTAATGTGTAACGTAATCATAAACACAGCTCTTATGTGCAATTAGAAAACATTTATTTGTCTCATATTATACTAGTAAACATGTGGTAAAGTGTGCTTCAGTCAAAAGAGACAAAAATTCAACCAGAATAGGCAGTAACCCTAAAAAACAACCAGAGCTACAACTAAACGGTTTCAATCAAAGCTTTATAATTCAAGTGTTATAATGGCCTAGTCAAAGTACAGAACATTTTGAGTTTTTTGTAGACACAAACAAAAACATAGCAGTTACTTGTTGAGGCTAAAGTCAAAGGACATCCCACCCTTACTTTTCTTATATTTTAAAGAAATAAAATTTAAACTGTATCTACTTTACACAGCTGTTTGGTAATTATTTATTCTCCAGATACACAGTATTTATAGTTTAAAAACAATTTAAAACCGAGGTCTTCAACAGGGGGCCGAGACCCCTAGGGGGTACACAGAGGTTCTGCATGGGGGTCGCAACAGTTTTGGTTGATTTAACTTTTTTTAATAATCCCCCTGCAGTTTTTTCCACTAATTGAAATGTCTTTAAATACACATGAACATGAATTCAAAACACTGTAGTAAACAGATAAATGGAGGCAGAAGATGTCTTTCAGTCATCAATGCACACATTCAGTGACAAACAGAAGCTCTTTCAAGCTGGACACCAATTCATTCACAACACCTGTCCCATCAACCAGGAATCAGAATCAGAAATACTTTAATAATCCCAGGGAGAAATTACTTCAGTTACATTACTCCATCTGTAATTTCATACAATATCAAGGATTAAAGTATATATATACATATATATGAGTTTCTTGCCTGTGTCGAAAAAGTTCAGGCTCAGGATTAGGGCTGGGTATTGTTAAAAAAATTTCGGTTCCGGTACCAATACCGATACCTTCACTTCGATACCGGTTCCTGAACGATACTTTTTTCGATACCAGTTTTATAATATCAATTCGAAAAAAAAGAAAATTACACAACATAAAAAAGTACAAATCTTGAGTTTTATTTTAAGCTCTGTTTTTCCATTTACATTTTTCCTCTTACATAAAAAAAATAAATAATTCAGTGTCTAATATTCACTGTTACATTGTGAGGACCTTTTTACTTAGCAGTTTTCCTTTAGAAAAATTACCATGTCTGACAAACAAGCCCGTTGAATGGGATCCTACTGACAGCGCACCGCTGGTATGGGGGGGGTCTGAGCGGCTCCGACAGAAATATTGAAGGCAGGATGAACTGACTGCACTGATTACGTTTTCAGGTGGGTTTTCCCACTTAAAAACATAATAAAACTACTTTATTCCCACTGATCACAGCAAATATAGCTGCAAGGCAAATAAAGGATAGAGTAGCTCCGCCCAACGCGCGTCTGACCCACTTTGCGACCGCGCAGCCAGAGCAGCAAAGCTTCTTCAGCAGCGCGTCAGAAGCTGGTACAAGCAGCAAAAATGAAGCAGCAGACGAGATTTTGCTGCTCTTGCTGCGTCCAGTTTGAAAGCAGCATGATTCACTCCGCTCTGGCTTTGCTCTGCCCACGGGCTGCTGAGAGGAGGATGGTCGCGCTGGCTGCGGTCCGCTCTTCTTGCAGTCAAACACAGAGCGACTTTCTGCTCTTAAATTATTTCCGTGCACGATGTATTGCATTGTGCACTATTAGCATCAGTCTTAATAAAGTGAAGCCGCACTTTTGACCTGGGAGGCATTTTAAAGGGGTTCCGCGACGCTGCAACCAGTTCACAAAAGATACACATGAACCCTGGCTGTAGGCGTGACCACCTGTGTATTTTTCCTGGATGACGCAATCACCTTAAGTGTTCCAGCCAATCACCGAAACTTGGTACCGAAAGACGAGGCATGTTTCGATACTCTGTAGAACCGAAGCATTTCGGTCGGTACCATAAAAGTACCGAAGTTCGGTACCCAGCCCTACTCAGGATTTATTTTTATTTTTGCTTTAATCCCTGCAATATATATAATTAGGGGGTCCCCGCTCCATCTCACCATAAGTTTTGGGGTCCTTGCCCTGGAAAACGTGGAAGACCCCTGCTGTACAGCACAGTATTTTATTTGTTTATTTTCTTAACTCTGTCACTCATTCGGTTATTTTTATACAGTTTTCTAAGGTCCATATTGTGTGACCACTTATGCTGGTCCACAATTTCCCCATATTGGGATAATAAAGGGATTTTCTATTCTATTAATCTAATTTTTACATTAAAGTTTATGGTTTTAAAGTGACAGCGTGTAAAATCTGTCCAGCGGGGTGAAATCTTTTTTTAAGGACTTTACAGTATATAGCCCCTTCCTGTGGAAGAGCTCTGGTAGAAATGTTGCAATATGTTTAAACTACCTGCAGACATCAGCTTGACACGTTGGGAAGCAAAAGTTCCAACACTGGTGAAAAGTGCCTGCTGGTGTGTTTGGGCTTTGCTGTGACACGCACAGTGAAGGATGCCAACTCATAAATCGCTTTCCATCCTCCGTCTCTCGTGTCTCCGTTAGGCAGAGATCTACAATCCAGAACTATTATTCCTCACAATCACTCCTTTGTTCTTTAGTTTTTAGTCTAGTTTGTTTCTATTTTTAAATCGGTTCCTCTGGACATCGAGAACCTCTCAGCAGCCGGCTGCTCCTGTTAGCTTTCTGAGAGCTGGACAGATGCAGCGAAGTGGTGGAGGAGGAAAGAGATGGATTGTGCAGCTGGTCACACGTAGGCGTGGAGATGACACCACTGTGTTAACTCTCCACAGACGCATGGTGAAACGAGCGGCGGCTGCACGCTGACTGTCATTCACTGCGTGACAGGCTTGGGAGGAAATCCATTTCTGTCATATTAACACATTCTTTCACTGGCCCGCTCTGTCTGCCGCTGCTCGTCCCCGACACACTGGGATTAGTTATCATGACATAGACAGCAGATGAATGCTGCCTCTCTTTTTCAGCCTGTTTTTTTTTCTTCTGATTTTAGCCATACTTTAATGTATTACATCATGTATATGCATTATGAGGAAACTGGAGCGAATTTATGAATAAAAAAATGTTGCGTTTGATCCTTTTGGATCAGTTAAGTATTTTTGACTAAAATAGATATAAATAAATTTTCTGCATATAGACCTCAGATAAAAAACATACCTTTGTCATAAACACAACATGCTATAATTTTGATGCTGATTCAGAGTATTCCTAAATCGCTGTGAGATGCATACCTCACAAACATCAGGTTAACCCAGTTTTCTCAGACAATCAAAGTCAAACCATTTAAAGGAAAAGTCGGGTCACATTCAGAATTCAAACTTCTGAAAGTACTTTAATAAAAAATTATTACCGTACATACTTTTCAATAAATGATAAGTGTTTTTAATTAAGAGTAATTTTCATTTGAATGTGCTTTACCTTAGACATTTTTATTTATTTATTTTATTTAACCTTTATTTTACCAGGATGTCCCTTGAGATAAAATCTCTTTTTTGAGGGAGACCTGGCCAACAGGCAGCAGTACAATAAGACATATAAAAACACATAAAAGAACACTACTGTCAAAGAACACTACTGCCACCTACTGGTTTGTGACGTCACAGTGCGGTATCGGCTGTTGATCAAGTCCCAGTGCTTTATCTGGTGTTTGTCACAATGTGCTATTACCCATGATGGTGAAGACCAATGCACTGGGAAGTGGGTATTTTCTCTGGCTAGAAGTTCGATGGCAAATGCTCCCTCTTCAAAATGGCAATCCAACGACGAACCCGTGGTGGATCATGAATCGGAAAGGTGAAATAACTACATTTTTCACTTTTACGCGATGTTTTACAACATCCAACTGCCATGCACCTGGGCAGTGTCAGTTTAACTATAGCTATGGTGAATTTCAATGGTGGAGTCCTCTGGATATTTTAAATAATTGTTGATGATTGCAGATGTGTCCAGTCGTTCCCATTGATTTTGGGGGGAGAATGGCACTAGGCTTACTGCACCGTGACGTCACTGCCGGAAGATGTCAGGATTGAGGTGTTACTATCTTTGGGCAAAAATATGGGCAAGACTCGGTGATCGGACAAAAATTATTGTTTTTAATTTTTTTGTGATAAATGCTAAATCCATTAAATCACCACAAACATATTACTTTTTGGTATAAATAATGACCCAGTGATTATTCCTTGCTGACCGGACTTTACCTTTAAAGTAGCTCAAGCATCATTAGTTGCTGCCATCTTTTTTTAATATAAATATCTGCATGCTCTCTGCTTAATTCTTTTAAACATAACATTTTAGTCCTTTTAGTTGTTTAGGAATTTCTAATTAGAAACTGATTACTTTTGATTTGGTATAAATTAAACAGAGGTCACAATATAATAACCAGCAGCCTGTCACATCATTTAAACAAAATGCTGCTACATTAACTGTATAAGTTATTCAAGTTATGTTTTCTATAAACTAGTGTCATTCCTTTCTCTTCTGCCCCAAAAAAAGAAAAATATGGGGACATTCTAGGGGTGCACTGATCGATAGGCTGGTCGACTTCCTTAACTTTTGGAGATCTGTGATTAGCCGATGCGCAGATTTAAAACCAAACTTTTCCACTGACCTAATCTACCTCTGCAAAGGTCCAAAAATCACCCTGTCAATGCTCAAAACTTTGATTTATATATGAGAGCAGCTATTTTGGAAGGTTTATTGTTTCACATGTACCGATTAATGTCTTTCAGTAAGAGATATCTAAAATGTCTTTTGATCTTTAATAGCTGAAAGTGTCATTTATATATAAAAAAAATCTGTATTGGTCAGAGTCGGAATTGGCATCGATGATCGGCCAGAAACCTGAAACCCCTAGTTATTATAAGAAAAACAAATCTATTCAACAAGTTTTTTTTTTATTTCCCTTTGGGATTAATACATTAGTTTTGATTGAATTAAAGGATTTTCAAATTACCAATTTTTTAGAAACTCATCATGTTTTATTAAGATCACTATATAGGTAAGGACATCCTTTGCCAAAAAGCAAATGGCTGATGTTATTTTCCAGTACTTGGAACTCTGTCTGCACCACTTTAATTACAGCCATTTTATTTTCCCTTGTTCTCTGATTCACTTAAACGGCATCATATTATGGTCTGATTCCCAAAACAGCCGCTCTCTTTTACATGTTTTAATGCCTTCATTCTAAGAAATTCATACTGAAGTGACAGACTGCATTCAGCTGCTCAGTACGAGTAAGAGACGAGTACGAAAAAAAGCTTTAGTCTATTAGTTTGAATGGATTTGGTGTAATGTTGCTCCAGTTTATGGGCTTAAAGTGAGGGGAAAGACCTTGATTTTTGAAGAAGTCAGATGTTTTTTTTGTTCCAACTTTAAGTAACAATAACATTTCCTTTTAGAAAAGTGAGAACATTAACCTGGTCTTCTCTTTTTTTGCATTTTATTTATTTTTTTATGTTAAAGGTCAGGTTTAGGTTTATGGCTGTAAAAATTAATTGAAAATAGATGAAAATCCGAGAAAAGTTCTTGTAGAAATAGATTCACACTGTGTGTCTGTGTGTAAAACAGTTTTCTATAAAGGTCAGTTTTTTTTTTTTTTCAATTTCCAAATAACACCAGGGGAGCTGAAGAAAGTATTCCACAGAACAGCATCTGTGTTTACATAGCTGCTGTTGCTTCACATGCAGAAGATGTAAAGGGTGAATGGAAACTGTGAAAATTCACTACTCTGCTGCAACACTTTGTCACTTCTTAGGGCTTTTTTTTCCACTTTTATTTCTTTTCCAAGGAAGTCTTGTGAATAAAAGAGATGGAAAATTTTCAACAACTCTCCTCTGGTCTGAACCACGACTAACCAGCTGTTTGAGCTGAACTCTGTAAACTCCTGTGAGTGACTGCAATTATCCCAGATGCCATTTGGCTTTTTTCTTATTCCCTAGAGGTGACAGTTATTCCCAAACACAATCTGTCTTTTTTATCTCTCTGGTGTCCTTTGCAGCATCATCATCGTGAAGTTTAGTGCCTTCATTCCCCCCTGAGGGCTTTCTATGATAACCAGCCTCATTTTCCAAACAATGGATTTAAGAAATATTACTTTGGTTTATATAACTACATTGTTGGAGCGTCTGATATATTGATTACATCCTGAGCCCATCTTTCATCATTGCTGGTTTTGCTTATTTCAGCTTCTGTTGATGTATTCCCACAGGGTGGCGACAGATCACAACATAGACAACACCACAGCTATCCTTAGAGACTGGCTCATCCAGGTGCAGAATTACTATCATTATGTGGAGTGGCGACCTGAAGATGAACCCAGGTAAAAAGTTAGGATTTAATTCTGGGTTTTGCCGACGTGCAATGACAGCGTAACTCCCATCTGTAACTGTCTTTTTATATCCCAGTGACTTCGAGGACGAAGTGGGGCCAAAACACTGGAATAATCTCCGATATGAACATGTGATGAAACTCCGCCAGGCAGCGCTGGACACTGCCCGCGAGATCTGGGCCGACTACCTACTGGTATGCTGTTGACGAGTCTGGACAGTTACATTTCAAACAGATTTCTTTAATTCTTCGTCCAGACCTGTTAACTGCAGAGCAATGAGAAAACTGATATATTTATTTATCTGACCGTTGGTAGTAGTCGGTATTTTGAACAACATGTTTAAAGGAAGGGAGACATTTATTTTTAGTATAAATAAGTAAAAAGTCTGTTTTTAAGGAACGTTTTGTATCAGCAGAAAGAAAATGCTGTTATCCAGAATGGCACAAAAAATCTAATCCAAATCCAAATCATTATTGGAAGTTTAATGTTTAAAGAAATCACAATGACAGGAAACTGCTTGGAAGCAATCAGTGATTGGAAATCATCTTCACACTACCATGGATTCGCATTTCACATGCCAGTAAATATTGGAGGGATAGCCTCAAAAGGCGCCTGATGCTAACCTTATGAACATTTTATTGGCCGAGCTGTTGAAGCTTACAGTTCAACTGAAATTCAAAGATGTTGACAGATTGTGGGGAAACAGTCATGGATGCAGTTTAAACTCTGGGGCTTATTAGTGTTTCCTATTTTGTTGCTTATCTCATGTTAAAACCTTCTTTTTAAGATGACTTTAAGGTTTTAATCGAATGCTTTTACAGAATGATTGATTCTTGTGCCATCAGTAAATAGTTTTGTTTTGGCAGATGGATAATCAAGGGTTTCCAAAGTAGTGGGCTGCTTGCTGCTCTTGAAATAGTTTAGTGTGGCCCCTGGATGTAGCTTGTACAATGGCCAGTTTTTATCTTATTTCTTCTAATGAGGTTTTCAAAAGAAACAAAAAAAAAAAAAAAAAAAAAAAAATATATATATATATATATATATATATATATATATATATATATATATATATATATATATATATATATATATATATATATATATATATATATATATAAATAAGACAGTGTTTATCGTTTATGTGATGTGTGTGTTTTGGTTGCTGTCATTAGGGCTGCAACTAACGATTATTTTGCAAATACAGGTGCTGGTCATAAAATTAGAATATCATGAAAAAGTAGATTGATTTCAGTAATTCCATTTAAAAAGTGAAACTTGTATATTATATTCATACATTACATACAAACTCATATATTTCAGATGTTTATTTTGTTTAATTTTGATGATTACAAATGACAACAAATGAAAATCTCAAATTCATCATATCAGAAAATTAGAATATTACTGAAGACCAATAAAAACAAAGGATTTATAGAAATGTTGGCCAACTGAAAAGTATGAACATGAAAAGTATGAGCATGTACAGCACTCAGTATTTAGTTGGGCCTCCTTTGGCCTGTATTACTGCAGCAATGCGGCGTGGCATGGAGTCGATCAGTCTGTGGCACTGCTCAGGTGTTATGATAGCCCAGGTTGCTCTAATAGTGGCTTTTAGCTCTTCTGAATTGTTGGGTCTGGTGTATTGCATCTTCTTCTTCACAATACCCCATAGATTTTCTATGGGGTTAAGGTCAGGAGAGTTTGCTGGCCAATTAAGAACAGGGATACCATGGTCCTTCAACCAGGTACTGGTAGCTTTGGCACTGTGTGCAGGTGCCAAGTCCTGTTGGAAAATGAAATCTGCATCTCCAAAAAGTTGGTCAGCTGCAGGAAGCATGAAGTGCTCTAAAACTTCCTGGTATGTGGCTGCGTTGACCCTGGACCTCAGAAAACACAATGGACCAACACCAGCAGATGACATGGCACCCCAAACCATCACTGACTGTGGAAACTTTACACTGGACTTCAAGCAACGTGGATGAAGTGCCTCTCTTCTTTTCCTCCAGACTCTGGGACCTTGATTTCCAAAGGAAATGCAAAATTTACTTTCATCAGAGAACATGACTTTGGACCACTCACCAGCAGTCCAGTCCTGTTTCTCTTTAGACGCTTCTGACGCTGTCTGTGGTTCAAGAGTGGCTTGACACAAGGAATGCGACAGCAGAAACCCATGTCTTTCATACGTCTGTGTGTGGTGGTTTTTGAAGCACTCACTCCAGCTGCAGTCCACTCTTTGTGAATCTCCCCCACATTTTTGAATGGGTTTTGTTTCACAATCCTCTCCAGGGTGCGGTTATCTCTCTTGCTTGTACACTTTTTTCGACCACATCTTTTCCTTCCCTTCGCCTCTCTATTAATGTGCTTGGACACTGAGCTCTGTGAACAGCCAGCCTCTTTAGCGACGACCTTTTGTGTCTTGCCCTCCTTGTGCAAGGTGTCGATGGTCGTCTTTTGGACAACTGTCAAGTCAGCAGTCTTCCCCATGATTGTGTAGCCTATAGAACTAGACTGAAAGACCATTTAAAGGCTTTTGCAGGTGGTTTGAGTTAATTAGCTGATTAGAGTGTGGCACCAGGGGCCATCAATTTTGAACCTTTTCACAATATTCTAATTTTCTGATATGATGAATTTGAGATTTTCATTTGTTGTCATTTGTAATCATCAAAATTAAACAAAATAAACATCTGAAATATATGAGTTTGTATGTAATGTATGAATATAATATACAAGTTTCACTTTTTAAATGGAATTACTGAAATCAATCTACTTTTTCATGATATTCTAATTTTATGACCAGCACCTGTAGATTAATCTGACGATAATTTTTCCAATTAATAGATTAATAATCAGAAAGTAAAAGGTTCCTTAAAGAAGAGCTTTTATAAGATTAAACCAGGTGAAACTCAAACTTTTCTACTTGAGTAGTTCTGGATGGATCATACTGACAGACGAAAATGTTTTTTTTAATCATTAATGCAAAATGTTTATATAATTTTTTACAATCTTGATATAATTGCTGCTCCCAGTCGGTTGTTCTGTCAACTAAAGGCACGTTTTAGAGTCTCTAACCAGTTAACGATTAATCAGTTACTAAGTATTTAAAGGCTGTTTGGATTTTTGTTGCTGGGAATAAACTGAAAGATATTTAGAGAAAACTTTGACACATAAATTAAGGAAACTGTAGCTGGATTATATTAAGGGCAAATCTCTTTTTTTCTGTCCCTACCTAACCTTTTTATTTTCTTCTTTTTAATTCAAATATTGCATGTATAATTATTTACTTTTTTTTTTAACTTTATACTGAAAGTGAAAAGAATATAATAAAACTACTCACTACTTCCAACATGGTTATTTTAGCCCAAGTTAATCATTACTGGTATAAGACAGTCAAGTTTATCACAATGGAAAATTTCACCTACATGACTTATTACTGTATTTTCACGACCATAAGGCGCACCGTACTAAAAGGCGCAGTCTCAGTTATGTGTCCCATTTCTGTATTTAACACACACATAAGGCGCACCGGACTATAGGGCGCGTTTTTTATATACAGGTACATGTCCTCTACTACCTTTAAATACCTCTACTGCGTATTTAAAAATACAGCGGGGGCAAAACTGAGTATGACTGTGCTTTATTCATGTATTTATTAAAAAGTATTAATCAAACCTGGCAGCTGGCCGTGAGACAGACACATCGCAGATGACACAGCGCTGTGATCACTCCTAAATTAACTTAAAATCCTGAAACCTGCCGACAGAATATGTTCGCTTTTATGGGTGCCTGCAGTTTAAATTATTTAGATGAAAAACACCTGCCAACCGCCGCGGTGAACCTGGAGGCTACCCAGCCTAGAGGCTGCTGATGAAAGGATTTTTACTGTCGGTGCACCGCTGGTATGTGGGGGTCTGAGCGCCTCCGACAGAAATAGATAATCTGGATGAACTGACTGCAATTATTACGTTTTCAGGTGGACTTTCTCACTTAAAAACATAATAAAACTACTTTATTACCACTGATCACAGCAAATATAGCTGCAAGATTTAGATTATTTAGATGAAAAAACACCTGCCAGCCACCGCGGTGAAGAGGAGGAGACCCGCCCAGAGGCTGCTGTTGAATTAAGTTTTCAGGTAGAAAAATAGAGCGGGAGCAAAACTGAGTATGATTGTGCTTTATTCATGTATTTATTACAAAGTATTAATCAAACCCATCAAAGTCATCATCCTCTGTTTCTGAATTAAACAGCTGCATTAAATCAGACATGCCAGTTTCACCTTCTTCGCTGTCAGAGTCACTTTCCGTGCAGCGCGGCTCCTCAGAAATAATGCCGGCTTTTGCGAAAGCTTGAACAACAGAGCCAGCAGACACGTTAGTCCAAGCATCTACAATCCATCCTCAAGCGCGTAACTTGCCCGGCGCTGCCTTCCACTTATCCTGAAACTGTGTTCTCTGTCGGCCATCGATCGCTCCCACGCCACTCGCAGCCTTACTTTGAACGGCCGCTTCACACCGATGTCAAGCGGTTGAAGCTCCTTTGTCAGACCCCCCGGGATAACGGCGAGCACAGCGTTCATTTGATTCACCTTTTTTTCACATCGGCTGTGAGATGGGCACGCAGCGATGGTGATGCGTGGAAAAAACCACCTGGTCTCCTCACATACACCTCCCTCAGCTACGCTTTCATCATCTCCTCATCCATCCAGCCTTTTTCATTTGCGTTAATATCATATGTCATCAGAGCGCTGTGTCTGTCTCGCTGTCAGCTCCCAGATCAGCTTCTCTGATTGGTTGATGCGGCGCGTCCAGCAGCAAAACTTCAATTTTTCCATCTCGAGCAGCAGCAGCGCGTTGGCAGATGCTTAAACGCTCCTGCTGCTCAAAACACGCTGCAGGACCTTTTGCTGCACCTATACGCGCGTCAACCATTGACTTTGCATGTAAACTCGCTGCTTCTGCTGCACCTGCTGGGTCCGGTTCACACCGATGTCGAGCGGTTGAACAGCGAGCACAGCGTTAATTTGTTTCCCCATGTTTTTCACATCAGCTGTGAGATGGGCACGCATGGAGTTACATATTAACAGCCATGGTGATGAGTGAAAAAAAAAACACCTGGTCTCCTTACATTCAGCCACTCTTTCATCATCTCCTCAATGAGGTGGTCTCAAAAGTCGCAGTTACAACACACATAGGGCGCACCGCACCATAGGGCGCACCGCACATTTTGAGGGAAAAAAAAGACGTTTAAGTGCGCCTTATAGTCGTGAAAATACGGTACTTATATATACATTAGTACTTTCTTTGGCATTTGAAAAACAGGAATTAATTAGGGATTTCCCGATACAACAGATTTAATTTCTCATACCGATACAGATATTGACCTGATACCATATTAGCACAAATCCTACAGGCTTTTTTTTTTACTTGTTTTGTACGGCAGGCTGTATGGAAAGGCTTGATCAGGTGGTGTTACAGAGAACAGTAGTAAAAAACAGTAGGTATGAAAACCAATAAACTATGTAATATTAACCAATGAGTTACAGAAACTTTAAAGAGAATCAATGTGGTTCTGTCATTATGAAAGTATCAGAAATTTTAGATGCAGGTCGATATAATCCCATAATGTTTTTTGGCTAATACTAGTGTTGCGCCGATGTCATTTTTTGGCCCCGATACCCGATACCTGGCTGTGCAGCATTGGTCAATTCCGATACCATAAAAACTGCATACTACTTGATGTAAAATAAATTCCATCATGGCTTGGCAGGAAAAAGACTAATACAAAGTGAATCCAGTAGAACTTTTAATTGGCTACCTGGAATGGGTTTACAATAGTTAAATAAACTTTTGGCTCCCAAAATGTTATCGGTGCCTTATTTTTTTGGTAGCATTTTAGTGCTGGATCGGGGCCCCGTCTGATACTGGCATCGGTGCAACACTAGAAAATACCACACCGATATCCGATAAATCGATATCATATCAAAACAGCCCTGTGTTCTAAGTGAACACAAATCAGGATTTTTAGATATTTCTTAAAGAAAAAAAATCACATCAGTTCAAGCTTTGATTTATGCTTCAGAATCGTTTTTCTATTCAGAATGTTTGTGTTTTTCCTCCTTAAAAAAGTGAATCCAGAGCATAACAGAGTTGACCAAAAGGCAGCTGAAATGCCCTGAACAGCTGTTTGACTCCCAGCTGGCCCACAGCGCCTGATTGCTAATGTGCTCTGACAGATTAAGGAGAAATATGCCACAACATAAACGAATAATTCAACCTACAATGAGAGCCTGTAAGGCCTGTTTAACTCTACTAAAACGAGAGGGGTCCACCCCACCATCTCTGATCAAACCACGTTGCTGTGAGTCATCTGCTGGCAGTGGTTGATACGTTCTCTCTAGGTGCATATGCACATTTGTGAGGAATTGTAAATATTAAGCCGCTCTCTCTGCTCTCTAGATGGTCGACTGCGACAACCTGCTCACCGACCAGGATGTTTTGTGGAAGCTGATGAGGGAAAACAAGACCATCGTTGCTCCTATGCTGGAGTCCAGAGCTGCTTACTCCAACTTCTGGTGCGGGATGACTTCGCAGGTAGAGTGGCTTTATTTATATTCTGCCCATGTTTCCTGCCTTTGTGTCAGTCGCAGATCCGGGATTATTTGAGCATTAGCACACTGCTATAAAAAAAAAAAGGAAGCAGAGTGACTCTAAGCCATCATGATTCAGTCAGTGCTGTCTCTCTCAAAGCATTGCACACAAAGAGCAAACAGACTGTAGAGATTATATATCAGAGTGAAACTCAGAGATTCCCCAGAATCGAGATGAGATTTATGTTTCCTTTTGAAGTGCTTGAAAACCTTCAGAGGAGGCGGAGAACAAGATGGAGACCAAACCCGTAACAGATGTTCCAGCTTGTGGTTTTTGCCTTGGTCGTAATGATGACTCAAATGTAGCTGCTTGTGTTTCCAGATGGTTTCAAGGATCATTTTAGAAAGTTTGGATTCAAAGATAAATGTGGTTTTAATTGTATTTCTTATATTACTGCTCAGACGTTTTGGAAGACTCCAATTTTTCCAGTCTTGTTCATGCTTCATTGCACTCTAAAATAAAGCATTTGTAGTTAAAGAAATCATGGGATTAATCATCGATCGAAACACATTCTAAACTTTTAATACATGAAGTGGCCATGATGGCAGATGTACCAGATGAATGCACTCATGGTATTCTCTTTTTAGTAGAAATAAAAAAACTCCTCCCTTATTTGCTGCAGAAGTTCCCATAAATGCTGCAGCACTTGTAAATTGGTTTTGTTTTAACTCTTCACTTCAGTTTATCCCAAACTAGTTTCATGCACTGCATGAAAAGTGAGATTTTCGTCCCCGTAAACCCCCGTAAACTCCCGCAGATCTGCCTGATTTTCGTCAGTTTCCGACAATTTGCAACCCGTGCTTGTCCGCGTTTGTCGTGCCACAAATTGTCGGAAACGTACCGTGACGTATGTGGAGAGCGATCAGCTGTACTAATGGCCCTAATTAGCATATGAATACAGCAAACCCGCGCGGCTGGCCAAGTCTGGCTTGAATAACCTTCTCAGTATTGGCTGAAACCACTATTCTCAAACAAGTAAAATCGCTCGTGATTGGCAGCAAAACCACACGTGGCCACGCCAGGCTTTAATTTTCTTACTGAGTATTGGATGGAACCGCTTCTTTTTAAACAAGTAAAGTCGCTTGTGATTGGTTGGCATATATATATATTTACATATAAATTTACATATATATATATTTATTCATATATATATATATATATATTTATTCATTCATATATTTATTCATTCATATATTTATTCATTCATATGGTGTGTATTTATGTTATCCTACACTACTACACAATTATTATGCTACCATCAAGGACATGAATGAATTTATACAGGAAATGAAGATTTGCCAGGAAGCTGTTTATGCAAAGAAAGAGCTTTATTGAAACACAACTATATACAACGCGTATCCAAACACATGCGTTTCTAAAAATTAAAACTCCGTGAACGGTCCGTTTGCTTCCTCGGGGTTGGAGGTAACTGGCAGCATTCCCTCCGAGGCAGGTCCGATGTGCAGACGCCTAGTGTGCGTGGCCCTGTACTTCGGCATCGCTTCTAACCGGGACTGCAGCTTAACACAGAGTTCAGTGAGATCCGGCCTACGAAATGGCGGCGACCGTACAATCCATCCAGAGACACCGCCGAGGAAGGCGGACTTCCAGAGTTCCACTTCCTAATCTGCTAGCACACTCTGCCTCGCTTTCAGCAGCTGAAAAAAAAAACAATGAATCAGCGCACTGCGTATGGACACAACACATCTATTAATGCACCTGAAAAATAGTCACCAAATAAAGTCTTACCCTCTTTCTTCTGGCCCGACTCCGAGCAGATAGCCTCCGCACGCAGCGTGTGGCTGGCTGCGTATATCTGAAGCTCCTGCGTACCGTCTGAAAATACGTCTTACAGGCAGCTGGAAAACAATTAAATGAGAGTGGTATAAATAAAAAATCAAACGCAAGTCACAGTAACAAGGAAGGAGAAAACATTAAAACAAGTCACTTACACACAATGTCGTCTTTACAACATCGTGCAAATCTGGACTTGCCGAGATGGGAGGTCTGTGAAAACAAAATGTAAAAGCTATGATCGGTATCCATCCGTATCCATTGCCTTTTACCGCAGAATGAAAGCATATTCTTTAAATCTTACCCTTGCTCCGGTTCATAGCGCCTGCAATTAGTCTCCGAGTTGTGAAGACGGCGTACTGCTTCCTGTAAATCACAAAAAATACACTTTAATAAAGCTTGTTCTAGCAAGGCTACTATTAGCCGCTATTAGCCGGTAGCTTAGGCTAGGCTGCTTTTAGCTTAGCAGGCAGTAATCGAACATCTATTTACCGCTAGCATCTCTTCTTTGAGTTCGTCTTGTTCGATGCAGAGTCGCCATCGCGTCCAAGAGGAGTTTTACCCCGAAATCCAGAAGCTCCAGACCGCTGCACAAAGCAAAGCATACATCCTCCACTGTGGCTGCACACCGCCGTTCTGAGTTTCTTGGAGATCGTAGAGCGCATGCGCGAGATGAACCAGGGTGTCCGCGGATCAATAAAAATAATTAAAAAATCATTCATTTTTTTTTTTTTAAATCAAGGCCTTAATTGGCACTAAAATTATTTAAATATGTTTATCGAAGTATTTATAATTCTTTAATAAAAAATGCTTATAAAAACAATTTCGTCAGATATATTATATCGCTCCAGGCGGAGAAAAAGCTAGAGGATATATATATACGTATATATATGTGTGTGTGTGTGTTTACATACATACAGGAGTCATGGAACTCTGCTTTCAGCTCCTTCATATTTCATGTACACTAATAACTTGTGTACATGGTTCTTGATGATGGCATTAAAATCATTTCAAATAGCATTAAAATAGCATTAAATTAGAGTCACTCATTCCTGTATGAACCCTGTGAGTGCTTAATTTAATATGACATATTAAAAAAATCCCACCATCATCCAGCATATGTTCAGTTTCTGCCCAAATATAGATGTAGATTTTTGTAACGGGGATAAGGATAATTCAAAACTGCTTTTTTTTTAATGAACTTGTTCACTACTTCCAAACTCAGCATCTCTTTTCATTCCTGTAATAAGAAGTTTCTTTTGAATGGATTTGATTAAAGTTTAAGTCCCTCGGTATAAAATAAATATTTTGATGGAGATGAGAAATCTGCTTCCTCGTTGGTGAATAACCAATAGTTTGGATCCAATCATTTAAATAAACCGTGTTAGTTTTTTTTTTATATATATATATATATATATATATATATATATAAGAATTGTGCTATAATTTCTAGTCACCGATCTGTTGCTGCTATATTTTAATTTGACGAACCGGAATTTGTCGATGTTCTTTTTCCTGTTTGGTGCGATTGCAATTGCGGATCTTGACCTGGCCGGACCTTATGACCGCAGTGTACCAATCTTCTCATGGCTACTTCCAACAGGATAATGCGCCATGTCATAAAGTAAATCATCTCAGACTCATTTCTTGAAACTTTTCCACTTAAGTAATTGTGAATTGAGCATATTGACAGACAACATTTTATTTTTTATCTTAAATGCAATTTTTTTTTTATAATTACTGCTCTAAATGTATTGCTCTGTCAGCTAAAGATCTGTTTTGGTCTCCACACTTTAATTAAATAAATCAATTCAAGCTAAAATGTAAGAGGCTATACTAAGCCTGATCTCTTTGTATCAGAGAATTTCTTACCCAGAAAGATGGGTACTTGGGGTAAAACCCCCCCTGCAACCCTGGTTTGCATTTGTATAGCTCACAGCATGTTCATTTACATGTTAAAGCCTCCCCTAGAATTCCATGGGGGGGAGGCATGGGGGGAACACTGCCTAAGAGAGTCCACGTCAATTTCTGACAATTTACGGGAGTTTTCGGCGAAGCCTGCAAATTGTCGTAAACTGCCGCTAACCTGAAGTTCCACGACAATCTACAGTGCCGCATATTGACGAAAATCCCACTTTTCATGCAGTGATGGTGTCTAAGTCTGGAGAGTTTGCTGGCCTCTAAAGCTTTTCAAGCTCCTCCTTTCAAGCTACTTCTTGCTTAGTATGGCGTCACTATTCTGACAAAAATACTCCTAGGAGCAGCTTTATTTCATACAGACACTCTTGTTACATGTGTAAATATTTACATTTGGTTCGCAATATATCACACAGTAGTTCTTGTTCTTTCTCAACCTTTTTCTGTGCACTTGTGTCAACCTTTGTCAATTTGAAGGCGTTACCCACTGGACAAAGCCATCTGCCTTTGATTGGCTACTTTTCAGGAAATCCCACCTCTTGAGGCTGCGCTCTTCCTTTACTAGCAAAGCAATGTCACGCTAATTGCTTATCTTCAAGATTTGGAAGTTTTAAAGCAAAGTCATCATTACATATCATTTCAAATTTCTGCTAGCTCAAACGTTAGCTGGAAACTGTAAGATGGTTTAGGCTGGTTACCTTGGCAATGCGTCACAACTCAAGATGTGGGATTTCCTTAAAAGCAGCCAATCACAGGCTTTGTGTTGGTGGGTAACGCCTTCAAAGGCGGTAAAAAAAAGGTGGTAGCCATTTTGGTTTAGGGTAGGGCTGGGCAATAGGACTTGAAAAATCTAATATTTAATTTTTTAAATTATTTTTTTCCTACCAAATCTGGTTAATTATATGTTTTTTCTTATTTAAGTTCCATATAAAAAAATAAAAGGATTAAAAAAACTACCCATTATTTCAATAATCCCCTCTGAGAGGTGACCTTACTTTAAAGGGCTACAAAATTCAAGGTTTGAAAAATGAAAAATCATGTTTCACAACAACCAATGAAAATATAACAAGCTAAATGTTGCTGCCTGGTGGTATCACACAGTGAGCTAGTTTATCAGTTATGAGTAAGACAAAGAACAATTGGGATGAAATGATTTTAATTAGTTATGAAAGGCCAGGGAATGGATTTGTGGGGGAAAAAATTAAATCTGTTAAAAACCAAAAATTTGATTG